GGCCAGGGTTCAATCATCACAGCAGCACCAGAGAGCAATGTGATCAAATCTATGTTTTACAAAAATAACTTGGCTACTTCTTGGAGGATGAAATACATAAGAGAGAGACTGAAAGCAGGGAGCCTGTTATGAAATGATCATGACAGTGAGGATGGAGAGGTGAGGACAGAATAGAGAGGGACTCGGAGAGAGAAGAGAAAGCATTTAGTGATGGACTGGATGTGGGGCAGGCAGAGAAAGAATTCAGGGATGACTTCATATTCCTACATGAAATAAGAAAAACAGGAAGAGAAGCAAGTTTGGAGAGAGAGAGAGATAATGAGTTCAGTGCTATAAATATTAAGTTTGGGGTATCTTCAGGAAGAATACCCAAGTGAGGAGTTTAGAATATAATTCCAGAGTGGAGGATAGACCCTCCCATGATGGTAAAGAGAAGGGGAAAAGGGAGGAAGTGGCACTTTAAAAAACAATCTTTCTATCTATGCACAACCCAGCAGGTCCTATGAAACAGAATCAGAACTGGACAGATACTGTTCCAAAATAACCCATGTACACCAGCAAAACCAGTTCACTCACTGTACCTTCATATGCCTTGTGCCTTCACTCGGCCCCTTTCCTTTCCTCCATTCAACGTATACTGATTAAGCACCAATTTTTGTGCCAGGAACTATTCTAGATTTTGGTGATGCAGAAGTGAAAAAGTCAAAACCCTGCCATCAGGGAGTATATATCTCAGCGCAGGAGACAGTCAATAAGCAAGTAGCCAAATAAAGATAAAATATAATTTCAAGTAAATAAATGCAATAAGGAAAAAAAAATAAAGCAGGTGAATGGTTAGAAAGTTACCAAAGTGGGAGAGGAAGGGGAACTCTGAAATTGAGCCATTGCAGTCAGGGCAGTCGTTTCTGATGAAGTGACATTTTAAATGGAGACCTAAAGTAATGGAGAAAGCCATGTGAAAATCTGGAGGAAGAGCATTTCAGGCAGAGGGAAGAGCAAGTACGAAGACCCTGAGGTAGCAACTAGCTTGGTATGATTGAGAAACAACAAGGCAGCCAGGTTGGCTAGAGTAGACCAAATAGTCACAGGGTAGCTTGTGACACTTCTGGTACTAGTGTATTGTTAACTAAATACTGTTGTGAAGATGTTCATTGATTTATATCCTATCTTCCCAACTCCACGTCAGCTCATTGAGGGCAAAGTCTATAATCAAACTTCATACTCCCACAGTACCTAGAACAATGCTTTGCACATAGTAGGTGTTCTTCATTCATTTATCTATAATTGTAATCGGTGGTAATCTCTAGGCCTGCCTCATCCCACTCTCAAACACTTTTGGGCTAGTTCCAGAGGCTGCTAACCATCTGGCAAACCATTGGTAAGCTATTTCTAATACTGTTGGGATCAGTAAGAAACTCATGCCACGTCCAGAGCAATATAGAAAACCCAGACACCAAGATATACCTTTGCTGTTTGCAAACCTGATGGTTTTGCTAAGGCTCTAATATTGAAGACTAAAATATGAGGAAACTCTACACATGCTCAGAGAAGTTGTCAGCTTTGCCAGAGTTCTATGCATAAACATTATAATAATATTATTATTATCCCACAGGGGTGTCATGAGGATTAATGAGACATTTTCAAATCACTTTGAGCTGCTCCACGGGGGGTACTAAATAAATGGCATGTGTTCCTCCTGAAGTGGCATTTTTGACACTGGTTTGTTGTGATGGGCTCTGCTGTCCAACAGGGCTGGAGTTCGCCCACCAACTCATTTCCTATAAACAACAGGCAAGCCATCAGAAGGCAGTGGTTTTCAGTTAAAATAAATACAAATTGAAGTGAACTAGTTGGCAATCAGGAGAAAATAGGCTGCTGTTAGAAATCTAGTATTTAGTAAGCACTCCCAGAGATCGACATAAGCATTTCACAGTGTGATACAGTAGAGTCAACACTGGATTTGGAAATGATCCAAGATTTTAGGCCCAGCTCTGTCACTAACCAGCTGTCTCAACTTGAACAAACAGCTAAACTTCCCTGGGCTTTGAACATAAAGTAAGAAGCTCATAAACAGTCTTCTAAACAAGGCCAGCACATGAAAGGAATGGAAACAGTCATTTCTGAAGGGGAGAGATCACAGCAGGAAGAAGCCTGTGACCATCCATCACAGGACCAGCTTCTGTTCTGCTCTTCCTTGCCATTGATTAATATTAATTTCAGTACTAATTCCTGCAAATGGAGAAATAAATCACTTTCTAGATCAGACATAGAAGTGCATGAAACATTTGGTCTTTAAAAATAGGGTCTTTGCCTCTCTACAAGCCATCCTTGCAGCAAACCGTCTGTCTTATTCTTAGATTTAAATATATGAATGATTGATTATACTGCTTCCCTAATTACCAGCTCAAATACAGTGTTCTAGTTTTGTGA